GGGGCGGGCCCTCCCCTAAGAAGCCGGGACTGCTCCGGGCTCCCACCCCGAGACGACCCTTGGGTGGGGGTGGGAGTGAGGGGCAGCGGTGCCCGGGAGCCCGGCTGCCCCTTGTGCGTCGCTAGAGCCAGTCCGAGGAGGCTGCGCGGGCGAGCGGGGAGCGCCCCACCCCGCCCCACCCCCGGGCCTTGGGGTGAAGGTCCACGGAGAGGGCGGACTCTGCCACCCTGAGGCTGACCTCTGCCCACTCGGGTCTCAGCGCACAAGACCAGGCGGGATGGGGCGGCACCAGACCCCCACTGGGCTTTGTTTTTAGTTTTCCTGCCCCTGGAAAGTAATTCTTTCAAGTACTCAGCCAGAGGGTTCTCCCACCCCGACCCCAGCCGAGCAGGTCCCCAGCCTTCCTCACCTATTTCCCCCTCTGACCTGAGGTTACACTGGGGGAGGGGGAGGAGTGGGGGAAGGGCATGTGAAGGGACCCTGGGCCCACCAGTGCCGCTCATCTTCCCTCGGGGCTGCAGCTCCCAATCTGTCCTGCACTTCTCAGTCAACAAACCACACCCAAACCAACTCCGCCTTCACCAGGGCCCCAGGGAAAGCCCACAGTTGCTCCCTAGACAAAAATGCCACCAGGAAGCCTCTTTCTATAGCACCCTCTTTCTGGACCTCATTTTATCTGTAAGCTGGGTGCAAAGGCTCTTTCTTTGTGGTCCTGGCTACATCAGACAGGACCCCAGGGTAGGGGTAAGGCAAGCCCTCTCCTTTCAAAAGCAAGGCTGAGTCAGATCTCTGGAGGCCTGAACCATCAGTCTACCCGCCCAAGGCCCTGGAAAGTGTTCCCCACAGGCACACACTCTGCCCAGAGGAGATGGCCTGGCCTTGGAGGTTTCGCCTCCTATCTGCACTGTGCCTTAAGCTGCCTGTCCCGGAGGCATTGGCATTATCACTGTGTGCCCTCTGGGTGGAGGCACAGTGAAGGAGGTGGTGAGTGGGCCTTGAAAAAGTAGAGGCCCCTGTGCACTAAGGGTGCCTAAAGGTGGGAATTCAGGCATCTGGAGAGTTAAAGGGGGCAGGCAGGGTTCTTCCTGGGCCATGCCCAGCAGCAGCAGCAGCCACAGGCCAGATGCCATCTCTAGCCTGGCCCTGCCCTGCCTTTCTTCTCTGTCAGGAATTTCTCAGCCATCCTGGAGAGGGGATGGGAAGCAGGCCAGAGGGGAGGAGCCCAAAGTTATAAACAAGAACACCCCAGAGGCAAGGAAAGTGCTCATGCCTTTCACTGGCTGGGTGGCCTTGGTGCAAGGGACTTTATTTACCTTGAGGCATCTGTCCCTAGAGCTTGTAGGACAGACTACTCTAGAGAACAGATGGAGGGTGGTGGCAATGGTGGCGCCCCTGTGGTCCATGGTGCCTCAGCAGAGGCTAAAGGCTAAATCTCTTTGTTTCAGTGACTGCAGCCGGAGCAGCAGCTCAGCAAGTGGTGGATCAGGCAACAGAGGCTGGGCAGAAAGGTCTGGCGGGTCTGGGGAGGGGCGGGACCCGCGGAAGGGCCGGAGGGTGGGCAGACCCGGCACACCTTTCCCCTGCAGCCCCTCTGCCTGGAGACCCAGGCCAGCCTACCTCTGCGTGGCTCTGGTTCCCCACCTGCCCTCACCTGCCCTTTCTTTCCCTTCCCCAGCCATGGACCAGGTGGCCAAATCTACCCAGGAAACCGTGGACAAGACTGCTAACCAAGCCTCTGAGACGTTCTCAGGTTTTGGGAAAAAGTTAGGCCTCCTGAAGTGACGGAAGGGAGCCGTGGGCCACTCCCCTGCAGGCCCAAGCTCCGGTGGGCTGCTGCTCCCTTGGCCCGACGCCTCATTAAAGCGCGTGTTCCTACCCCGTGTCCTTCGTGTCTCCCGCCGAGCCGGGCCCAGGGCTCCCCCATGCGAGGAGCCCACACCCCCGGGGCCGCGCCGCTCCCAGCGCCCTGGCATTACAAGTTCAGAAACGCGCCGGCTGCTGAGAACTCGGTTCCCGTCTCTACCCAGGGGCTCCCTCATATCTGAAGGTCAGCCCCCATCTAGACACGTGCCCCCCAGCTCAATTCAGGTGCCATGTCTGCTCCCCACTCCAGGAGCCCCGTCCTAGAGGGAGAGGCTCAGTCCCCAGAGCCCCGAGGG